AACCACGGGTAACTACGGGTAACTACTGGGGACTACTGGGGACTACTGGTAACTATGGGTAACTACAGGTAACTACGGGGAACTAGGTCATTTACTAGGTAGTTAGTTAATTGAAGGTATTGCCACAGTTGGTTCTCCGGGTTCTTTAAGTTCTGCTCCTCTTCTCCTTCTGCAGGTCTCAGACGGACACTTCGTTCACTTCTTCGCTCCGTCACAACTTTCTCCTCTTCCAAAAAATATCGTGTTTGTGATCGATGTCAGCGGCTCCATGTGGGGCGTGAAGATGAAGCAGGTGAGTCAGTCTGGTGGACCTCCTCCTCCTGCTGCTGGGGGCCTCCTCCTGCTGCTGGGGGCCTCCTCCCCCTCCTCCTGCTGGGGGCCTCCTCCTGCTGGGGGCCCCCTCCTCCTCCTCCTGCTGGGGGCCTCCTCCTCCTCCTGCTGGGGGCCTCCTCCTCCTGCTGCTGGGGGCCTCCTCCTCCTGCTGCTGGGGGCCTCCTCCTCCTGCTGCTGGGGGCCTCCTCCCCCTCCTCCTGCTGGGGGCCTCCTCCTGCTGCTGGGGGCCTCCTCCTCCTGCTGGGGGCCTCCTCCTGCTGCTGGGGGCCTCCTCCCCCTCCTCCTGCTGGGGGCCTCCTCCTCCTCCTGCTGCTGGGGGCCTCCTCCTGCTGGTGGCCTCCTCCTCCTCCTGCTGCTGGGGGCCTCCTCCCCCTCCTCCTGCTGGGGGCCTCCTCCTCCTGCTGCTGGGGGCCTCCTCCTGCTGCTGGGGGCCTCCTCCTGCTGGGGGCCTCCTCCTGACCATTGTGGGATCTTCTCTTCCAGACGGGCGAGGCCATGCTGGCCATCCTGGACGACCTGACGGAGGACGACCACTTCAGCATCATCGACTTCAACCACAACGTCCGCTGCTGGAATGAGGAGCTGGTCCCTGGAACATCGCTCCAGGTGGCCGATGCCAAGAACTACGTCCAGAACATTAAACCCAACGGAGGTGAGGAACACTGGAACGGTGCTGGTGATGTTGGCAACTGTGGGAATGATAAAAGGAAGAGCATGGAATAATGAGGAAGATTTTCCTGACTTTCTTCCAGGCACCAACATCAACGAGGCCCTGATGAGAGCGGTCTACATGCTGGCCCGAGCGTCCAATCAGGGACAGATTGACCCGCGCTCCGTGTCTATGATCATCCTGGTGTCTGACGGAGATCCGACTGTGGGTAAGAGGGCGGGGCGTGGCCCGGTGATCAGGCTGCAGGAGAGAAAACCACTGTGACCCCCCCTGGCCCCCCCCCATCCCACCTGTAATCTGTAATCTGTAATCTGCTAACCCCAGTGCTGTTGCCTGCAGGTGAGATTAAGCTGAGCACCATCCAGAAGAACGTGAAGCGAGTGATGAGGGAGGAGTTTTCTCTCTTTTCTCTTGGCATCGGCTTTGACGTGGATTACGACTTTTTGGAACGCATCGCCATGGAGAACCGGGGTGTGGCCCAGAGGATCTATGCCAACCACGATGCTGCGGAACAGCTGAGGGTGAGATTCCCAGGCTTTACTCAGGGATTGAATTGATTGATCTCATCTGGAGACAAAGGTTTATTTTACAGTAACTCCTAATCCAGACCTTCATCTGCTCTGCTCCTCAGACCTTCTACAACCAGATCTCGTCTCCTCTCCTGAGGAAAATCTCAGTCCAGTTTCCCAAGGACTCGGTTTCTGATGTGACCCAGAACCAATTCGATAAGTACTTCAGTGGCTCGGAGCTGGTGGTGGCCGGGAAGGTTCTACCGTCAGAGAGCAACACGCTGACCGGCTTCACCTCTGCTTCTGCGGTGAGTCCAGAACGTCTGGTCTCTTAGGTCTGGTTCTGACTTCCAGTTCTTTTGGATCCTATCTTTTCTGATTTTCCAGGCTGGGGTGGACATCACAAACCAGACGGAGGCAGACATGTTGGAATTGGACCAGGAACTTTCTAAACAGCAACACTCCTTCACCGGCTTTGCTCGGCAGCTGTGGGCGTACATCAGGATCAAACAGCTGATCTCTGAGCGGTGAGGTTGTCCACTGACCCACAGGTCCAGACACCAGGTGACAGGACCGTGTTCACTTCTGGGACTAGTCCTGTCTCCTGGCTAGCTGACATTTTGCTTGACTGAAGCTATTCCGTCAGCTAACGTTTATGGACACTTACCATAATGTTAGCAATTTTCTGGCTAACCCTTATCTGTATTTTTGGCTAACTAAATATAGATAAAGGTAGCTTTATCTACTGTATATATGTCAATTTATAGCTATACTAATAGTTCCATTCTTCACAAACATTTGGCTATAAACACGACCTTCAGTTACATCCTTGGCTAACACTTATCTATGTTATTAACTCAGTGATTGCTGGATCTTTGCTAACTTTTGACTTTAAGCTCTTTATGGCCGTGTCCTTACAGAAGCTCGTGGGCGTCCCCAGTGGTCATAAAGAAGATGACGGTTAGCTCTTGATGTAGTGTTTGTGCTAGCCTCTTCTTCTTCTGATTTGCTTGCGGTGGATGCAGATCTCTAGCATCCACGGGGTAAAGATGTTAGTGCTGACCATCTCATACCTTTGGTGATGCTTGTGGGCGTGTCCTTCCTGCAAATCTTCAGGTTCCTCAGTGGCAGATGCCGAGGGTTAGCTTCTTAGCTAGCTCTAACACTGTTGACCGTCTGGGTCTCATGTTTTCTGCAGGTCTCTGGCTCCGAGCCTTGGAACGAAGAGGGTCATCACTCAGCAGATCACGGCTCTTGCTGTGGAGCACCAGTTTGTCACGCCACTGACCGCTCTGCTGGTGGAGAGCGAGGGCGCCACCGAGAGGCTGCTGGCTGATGCCCCCAAAGACCCCAAACACGGCTGTTGCTCAGGTGACTATCGACACACTAACGAGTTCTCGGCCCTTAGGCAGGAGAGACTAGGCTCTGACCTCTGTGACCCCTGTGACCCCTGTGAAGGAGCTGGAGTAGGAGGAATTAAGGGAGGAAGACTTCCACAGACTAGTGGTGTTGTTTACCAACGTCCTCCCTGGGTTACGGACGTAACATCTGCTCCACCAGGCCAAGTGGTGCGGGGTCCAGTGGAGGAGCTGCTGCCCAAGAAGATCAACCTGGGTAACAGACTGAGATCAGTTCAACTTCAGTTGACAGTCCAGAGAGCAGAGAGGACGTGACGTTCTATCTCCTGGACCAAAGTCCATTAAAAGATGTTTGTTTTCTTTGCCCCACAGTGGACAACGACCCCCACTTCATCGTCCATCTGCCCCAGAACAACATCGATGTTTGCTTTAACATTGATTCCAAACCTGGCCACATTCTCAGCCTGGTGTCTGACCCCGGAGCAGGTAAACCCCGGAGCACCAGACTTCTTTAGAGCCACGTTTGTTTTTCAAAGATCAACAACTGAATCTCTTTGCAGGTTTGGTCGTCAACGGTCAGCTGATCGGCTCCAAAACGCTGAACAAAAACCACAACAAGCTCCACACCTACTTTGGTGTCATTTCCATCTACTACCAGCCTGGTGACATCATCATCACCGTGGGTACAGACGGCATCTCCATGACGGAGGGCCAGAACAGATGCTCCTTCACCTGGGGGGCCACGGCCGACCTCCTTCAGGACGGGTAACAGAGCGTCTATCACAGCTTCCATTCTGCTGCACTTACTTGATCATGTGACTTCCTGTGTCTCAGGTTAAGGATTTCCATCCTGAAGGATTCTCATGTCACCGTCACAATTAATGAAAACATCCAGGTGATGGTGCTATTGCACCGTGTCTGGAAGAAACACCCTGTCAACGTGGATTTTCTTGGACTCTACATTCCCAGTGAGAACCAGTACTCCGAGCTGGTGCACGGCCTCATCGGTACGTTCAAACTCCGTGGCTAACTTATATACATATTATACGGGCTAACCTTATCTGCCTTCATTAAATGTGACACTTTTTTTCATCCGTGGTGGGTCTGACTTTAAACTTATTAGCCACTCGTAATCAAACATTGAGCTAGTTTTCCGTGTTGATAGCTGTGCTCATCATTTGGCTCATTTAAAGACATTTGAGGCAAACAACTTGACAGTGTGGCTGAACTAACAGGTTTTTCTTTGGCCAAGTACTAGCTAATTCTTCTGTCCTTAGCTAATAATGGCTAGGTTTTCGCTAACATGTTGGGTATGATTTTACCGCAGCTCAACTGTTTTTTATGCTTTTGGCTCATTTTACGCTAGTATCTGTAGTGCCCGGTATATTTAAGCTAACCTTTAGATTCTTGAAACTAACTTTGTGTCACGACCATGTCACAGGTCAGTTTTCCCGGGAGCCGAAGGTTATCGTCTACGATGTTCACGATGGAACCGATCCTCTAAAGAAGGAGGCAACAATGGAGGTGAAGGGGAACAAGCTCCAGGTTACAAGGTCAGTTCCAGATACTAACTGAGTTACTGCAGACTGACTCACTTGAGCACACAGTGATATATTGAGCCTGAGCGTGTGCGTTTTCCAGGGGCTGGCAGAAGGATTACCGACAGGACAAACGGCGCGGTGCTAACGTTTCCTGCTGGTTCATTCACAACAGCGGGAAAGGTATGATTGACGGACACTTCAGCGACTACATTGTCCCTGAGCTCAGCTCCTTCCTCCAAACTGAGAGAAATTAAAGCAATAAAGCCATAAAAATATTATAAGTAATGAAGTTGTCTTTCTATAGCACAGACCACAGCGGGGGCGGGACGGAGGGAGTGTATGAAAACGTATTTATTCACATCTGAAACATTCAGAAAAACAACTGCTAATAAAGAACCAATGAAGTACGCGCTTCTGTGATGATGAATCGTGGGAAAAGAGTCCACCTGCTGGTCACAGGGTGGAGGTTAAAAAAGGAGGCGGACCTTCAGGCCAGTTTGGAAAAATCCTCATAGGCCACTCCCACCTTGCGTCCTCTCTGTGGACCCTGAAAATGAAAAGGAGCATCAGCACAAACAGACTAGCTAGCTAACAGTGGTCTACAGTCAGCTGCCTCTAGGGTTACCTTAGGCTTAGCTTCAGTCAGCTCACTTTACGCTAGCTGTACACATACTGTATGAGAAGATAACCGCAGGCTAAGTGTAAGCTAAATGCTAGCTTCTTTCAGGATAAAAAAACAGCATGTTTGCTCTGCGTGTGGCACTCACAGATTCTAGCATTAGCGTAGCACTGAAGTCCTTTTCACTAATTCCTTCCAGTAGAGCCTGGGTGTCTCTGTAGGGTCCATTCAGAATCAGAACCTTTTTACCTGAGCACGGAAAAAAAACATTAATCTACGCTTTAAGAACAAGAGAGGTCACAGGTCAAAGGTGCAGCACCTGGTGCGGGTATGACTGTCTCCAGATGGTTCTGGTCCAGCTTTAGTTTGTCTCCAGAGTCGATCATCTTGACCACAGCCGCGTATTTGCCCTGAACTTCCTGCAGTGAAGAGGTGACTCGATATGGATCAGAATACCATTGGTTCTTTACCCCAGACCACACCAAGTCAGATGATCCTTACCAGGACCACGGCCTTCTTTTTGTGGTATTTGTCTCCAAGTCTTCTGGTGACCACTTTGACCACGATGTTGGGCTGAAGCCAGTGGTCTGCTCTCTGCTGCTGCTCCATCTGAGGACAAACCAGTGGTTAGGATGAAGGAGAGGAACTGGGCACAGATCTACAACCATCTCAAATGGTCTTCTCCACCTCAATGATCTGCTCCAGAGCAGACTTCTTCTTCTTCTCTCCTCTGAAGTCTGAATTCGACGAAACGTCCTTCCTTTTCGTAGTAGCCGACGCTGCCGACGCTGCCGACGCTGCTGCTCCTCTCAGAGCATTAGCAGCAAAGACAGAGCTGCGAAGATGAATCACAATTTAAAGCTTTGGAGGCTTCATAAAAGAAGGTGCTCCTCAGAAGGACCTGTACCTGGATTTAGAAGAAGACGATGAAGATGAGCAGGAGGAGGAGGCTCCGAGGTTAAAGGCAACTGCAACAATGAAACAGAAATTGAAATAACCCCAGGCTAGAGGCTAAAACCAGTGACTTCCTGTGTGCACTTTTGTCTCTGTTAAAATGACTCCTTCTCTAGAAGAGCTTTGTTTTGTATTTTACTAACAAAATATTGAAAACCTTTATCCTCGTGCTCCTCACGTCTGAGTTCTGTAAAAACCGGACTGTCCTGCAGAAGCCAACCCAGAGACACCAGACCAGGTTACATTTTTACACATTTATAATCGTAATGTTTTGCCTCCAGTGGTTTCTGACCAATTCAGACTCTTTTCCATCTCGTCCTCTGCGAACTTGCTCCTCGATGAATTTAGCGGCGCGTTCCTCATCATCTAGCTCCTGCTTCTTCTTCTTGGCCTGCTCCTCCTGCCGCCGGATGGTCTCGGGGTCACGGTCGACGTACTGAACGTACCAGCCTTTGGGCGTTTCGTCCACTTTACACAGACCTGCAGAGAAGAAGTAGAAGCAAAAGGTGTAACTTCTTCTTCTTCTTCTTCCTCACAGCTGACATGTAGTTTGAGATGTTCCAGTCCCACCTTCTCTGCCAAGCCACTTGGTGAAGTCTGTGAGCGTCTCCCACTGCGTGGAGTTCATGTGAACGTGTTCACGGTGACTGATGTACTCATTATACACGATGTTGTTATGCACACGCTTCGTTCCTGTTAGAAGATTTTACACTGCATTAAATAAAACTGTGCTAACATAATAATATATACAAACACAATATATATTAAAAATATATAAAAATAATGTTAGCATAGCACCATTGCACATAAATGGCCTTTAAAGTCTTCAACAGCTGCCCTTCCATACAGGAACAATGCTAACAAACACAGCCGTTGGTGGGTAAACTTACCGAATCTTCTCCTAAGCAGCTCCAGGAAGTCACTCTTAAATTCACTAGCGCACAGAGAGGAAGCGAAAGAGCAGAGGGCGTGCGTGTTATCAATACTGAAAAACGATTCTTGCATTTAAAGTGAAATATGACGTAATGCAATGGCAAACATCTCACTCTGAGAAATAGTCCATGAACTTCGTAGGATTTTCTGAAGCCAACAGCAGCTGGCGCTGGTGAGACTCTGACATACAGTGACATTTGAATCCATTCTGTAAAAACATTAAATAATTAAAAATGTAAAACAACCCCCAACCCGCGGTCCAGACCCAGCATTACCTCGTCTCTGCACTGTTTCTGGCACATCTGGCAGTACCACCGCAGCTTCTGTAGACCTTTGGCCTTAATCCTGTTACTGATCGCTTTAGGAGTCAGAAAGTCCGCCTTCCCCATCTCGATCTGTGGTCCACCTCATGCGATAGCTGCTGGACTGGATCTAAACTCCCGGCGACCCAGAACGGGATCGGCGGTAAATGGTTGGTTAAAGGTTAAAGACGCGATGAAACAAACAAACCAGTTTCGGAAACACTATCACCGAAAACACTTCCGGGTTACAAGTCCCACAAAAGCAATTTCAGCGATTGCTTTGAATTGCGTATTTATAAAAACCACAAAACGTACGTACTACAGAATAAGCGCATTTAACCCGTGGTTTGATTTGATATTGCTGAGACAAATCACTTAAATATACTTTAAAGAACTCATTCGCAGCGACCCAGCTATTTCCTTTCCCCCCCACCGGCTAATCTTGTGCTGCCTTCAAGGACCACAAATTTGCTCGATTGAACAAATACAATGGATATTACACGCACGTATTAATTGTACATCCTTAATTTAATATTAATATAATTTAAAATAATATAACTAAAGTATTTATGTTTGGTTGTTTTTAAAGTCAAAGTTCATTGTAATAATTGTAATCAAGTTAATGTAATGGATCTAATTTTTAACGGCCTTGCTATTTGCTCGTGAAGCTACCAGCTGCCATTTTGACAGGGCATTGCGCCTGCGTGGTTCTGCGTGTCTGACCTTCAGAGGACTGAACATGTTTTCCAGAAGCAGCGCCTTGATCTTCTTTCCACAATGGTACCTTTACGAACCATTTCCCTCTTCTTCAGCTTTTTTTTATCACAATTTCTCTGTTGTGTTTTGATACGGCATTTGCTGTTCCGTCAGTTTCTTTTAACGCACAGTTAGCGGAAGCCTTGTCAAAGCTAACGTGTTAACGAGGCCAGGGTGAAATGAATAGGATTAGCATTTAGCCTTTTTTTTATTTTTTACCAATGAATGAAACATTGCGAGATCGATCACATTGCTGTGTCTGTTAATTGTTAATATTCGGTCAACATTGTGCATTTGTTTAAACCATTTTTCGTTAGTTCTGATTGTTGTAACTCGTAAGCAGTTTTAGCTCATGGCTAGGTGACTGTTAGCTCGCAACTAATGTAGAATAAACATTAATAAACATACGAACACAGCGTATAGTGCTGTTTTACCTAAAGTCATACTTTGCAGGAACCAAACCTGTCGTATCTCTCTCTCTCTCTCTCTCTCTCTGTGTGTGTGTTTCAGTGGACAGGTCAGGAACATGGCGACCCTGAAGGACAGTAAGTGCAACAACAATATTAAGATAATCTGGCGTTAAGTTTAAGAACTTATTGGAATTCAGATGTAACATTAAGACAACCAATCTTTACAAAAACCTGAGAGAATTAAGTCGTAATAAAGCGACACATTTGTTTTTAATTCTCTTGTAAACTGACCTCATGTTGGTGACCAGTGTCACTAGTTATTCTAGTTCTATTCTATACTAGTTCTTGCTAACCTACACATTTATGTACAGAACTCCTTTTATCCTCATAACGTAGCCCTTTATCATAATATCCTGATCTTCTCCTCTCCAGTCACCATACGACTCAAGTCCATCAAGAACATCCAGAAGATCACCAAGTCCATGAAGATGGTGGCCGCGGCCAAATATGCCAGAGCTGAGCGCCAGTTGAAGCCAGCCCGCATTTATGGAAACGGAGCTCTGGGTACGACCAGGAAGCTTCTGTCGAGCCTTTCTGTCTTTGGTGATGGAGCAGGAGTGACTCCTCTGTCTTTTCTCCTCAGCTCTTTACGAGAAGGCCGACATCAAAGCTCCAGAGGAGAAGAGCTCCAAACACCTGATCATCGGAGTCACCTCCGACCGTGGCCTGTGTGGAGCCATCCACTCTGGAGTGGCCAAGACCATCAAGAGTGAGATCTCCGCCCTGAGCAGCGCCGGGAAGGAGGTGATGGTGGTGAATGTGGGGGACAAGCTCCGAGGTATCCTGCATCGGTGAGAACATCACTGAAGCTAACTTCAACAAAGACTAGATCACGTCATGTCCAGATCATTAGAGCTCAGATCACTAGTCTGGTCCTCCTCCCCCCCCCCCCCCCCCAACATCCCTAATCTCTGTCTCCCCATTTATCTCTCTTCTTTATTTCTCTGCTTCCTTCCTTCCTTCCGTCCTTCCTTCCTCTGTCCTCCCTCTTCTTCTCAGAACCCATGGTAAGCACATCATGCTAAACTGCAAAGAAGTTGGACGCAAACCTCCGACCTTCAGCGATGCTTCGTTGGTGGCCTCGGAGCTGCTGAACTCTGGCTACGACTTTGACCAGGGCTCCGTCATCTTCAACAGATTCAGGTCTGCTCTGATCCAACAACCTTCACACACACACGCGCGCAGGGGGATTCAAACCTTTACCACCCGGTCTCTGTTGCAGGTCTGTCATCTCTTACAAGACGGACAAGAGGCCACTGTTCTCCAATGACATCGTGGCCAACTCTGGTGACTGAACCCCTCACCCTCCTAATCTCCACCTCAGTGGGAGAACAAAGAACAGTCACTATAACATCACTGGTTTTTCACCTGTGCAGAGACCATGGGCGTCTACGACGACATTGATGCTGAGGTCCTGAGGAACTACCAGGAGTTTACTCTGGTCAACATCATCTACCTGGCCCTGAGGGAGTCTTCAGCCAGTGAGCAGAGCGCCAGGATGACCGCCATGGACAGTGCCAGCAAGAACGCCTGTAAGAACCACAGGGAGACTGTTGGTGTCTGACTGACTGACTGACTGACTGACAGACTGACTGACTGACTGACTGACAGACTGACTGACTGACTGACTGACTGACTGACTGACTGACGCTGGGCTGACTGACTGACTGGCTGATGTTGGTCTGTCTGACTGACTGCTGTTTGTCTGACTGACTGATGTTGGTCTGTCTGACTGACTGACTGACTGACTGCCGGTCTGACTGACTGACTGACTGATGTTGGTCTGTCTGACTGGCGGATGTTGGTCTGACTGACTGACTGCTGTTGGTCTGGCTGACTGACTGACTGCCGGTCTGCCTGACTGACTGACGCTGGGCTGACTGACTGACTGGCTGATGTTGGTCTGTCTGACTGACTGACTGATGTTGGCTGGTCTGACTGACTGACTGACTGATGTTGGTCTGTCTGACTGACTGATGTTGGTCTGTCTGACTGACTGATGTTGGTCTGACTGACTGATGTTGGTCTGACCAGTCAGAGACTTTGTTTTGGGTCTTGAAAGTTCCTGCATTGAATCTCTGATTAAAAAAACAAACAGTTTTACAGTGAGGCTGAGGAGGCTCCAGTCTCCTCCACCCTCTCCACCTTCCTCCCCACTCCAGTCCCCCCCTCCTCCCCCAGTCTCCTCCACCCTTCATTCACTTCTACTTGTTTTTCAGCTGAGATGATCGACAAACTGACGCTGACCTTCAACAGAACCAGACAGGCCGTCATCACCAAGGAGCTGATAGAGATCATCTCTGGAGCTGCTGCAGTCTGAGTTCCTCCTCCTCCTCCTCTTCCTCCTCCTCCTCTTCCTCCTCCGCCTCTTCTTTCATGTAATTAATTTTTTCATTTCTTTCATTTCTTCCCAGATAAACGACGGCTCCAGAATCAACTTCTTCAACAGCTTCCCTCACACACACTGTGTGTGTGTGTGTGTGTGTGTCGTAGTGTTTGAGCTGCTCAGCTCCTCCTTCTGTCTGTAACATATTGACAATTAAAAATAAAGAAATAAATGAATGAAGAAGACGTTGAAGTTCTCAACTCTGTTTCCTCCCAAAATAAAACTGACGCCGTTTCAAATCAAAATTCTGAAAGAAGTTTCCAGCGCTGGATTATCATCTGTCACATGACGTTACAAACATATTTGTCACCAGTCATTCAGCACATCTGAAGGTACGTCTTGAACCTGTCTTTTCAGTGGCTTTGAAGACTTGGACCTTTATGTCTTTTTTTTTTTCTTTGACACAGTATTTCCCACCTGACGTTTTCAGACATGAACTTCAGTCGTTCACAAATAGCTGTGATTTGTCAGATCAAACTAAACACCTGGTTCATGGCGCCACCTTGAGGCTGTTTGTGAATTTTGGTCCGATTTTGCCGTCACAGGAAGACCAACGAAATAGTACTAGTTATTATTTATTATATATACCAGTTAAAGAGTTTGTTGTTGTTGTTGTTAAAAACTACACCGGGAGCTCATTGGATCAGTGTGATCACATGGACCGTCAGCCTCAGCTCAGAAGGTGAAGAATATAAAACTGCTGCTGCCTGAAGACATGAGACACAGACAAGAGTTTTTCTGCTGACGCTCACGTTTCCTTTGTCGAGATTATTTTGTTCTGCTTCTGTTTTTGGACTTGGGGAAACCGTGTGTGTGTGATGAGAATCCTCAAAGGTTTTGTCAAGCAATTTACATCTGACAATCAATTTACATCTGACAATTAGTGCTGCAGAGAGAGAGAGAGAGAAAGAGAAAGACACACACACAGAGAGAGAGAGAGAGAGTGAGAGAGAGACACACACACACACACACAGAATCCTGTCACCAAGTTTAATTTTTTTTCAATCTGTTTTTTTCATTTCTGTTTATAGACATGAAAAAGTGTGACAAAATTCCTAAAAAGCTGTAAATTTAAAACTATTGTAACAAAATCCGACTGTTAGAACGTTGTCATGTAGAACTGGAACCAGGAGCAGAACCAGAAAAGTTTCACTTTGAATCAGACAATAATCAGAAGTCAACAATCACTGGGGAAACGACGACACCTGCTGTCAGACCCAGGCACTGACATGAATGTTTTTGCTTTCTCTTAAATAAAGACTGGTTTACTGCTGTGGTCACATGACCTCCGTGCTTCAAATTTTTTTTATCACTTTTTCACAAATTTCTAGAATAAAAAATGTAAAACCAACAACGAAGTCAAACATGTTCATATAAAATGATCAAACACAGTCACTTCCTGTTTGGTCTTTGGACTTCCTGTCACATTAGCACACAGCTAGCAGGCTGGTCATGCACATGTTCATCATGGAAGTCCAACATCCACCAGGTGTTTGAAGTGAACCGTGTCCAGTGATTGTTCTTGTTGTGGTTCTGCTGCAGAACATTAATGGAAGATGATCCAGAACTTTGATGATGACCGTGTTTCTAAAGTGGTGGTGTGCACAGGTAAACAGCACACCTGCGGAGTCACTGTTGGTCACCTGACATGGAAACCCACCAGGACAAGAAAAGAACTCAATGAGTCTGTTCTCCAAGAACATCTGTCTGGACTTTTGGTTCCTGAGACCTGGAGGAACCATCTGAGGAGCAGCCAGGACTAAGAAGCTGACGTCAGATGTTTGGTGCTTGAAGGAGCTGGAAGGAACCTGTTGCTGCTGGAGAACCTTCTGGATACTTTGGTTCTGATCCTGTTACTTCAGTTCTGACCCAGAAAGACCTCACCCTCCACTTCCACAAAGTAAGGAAGCTTCTTCTGAACCTTTGCTGCTGCTGTTGGTTTCATGTCGTCTCGTTGCTGAATCCTCAGCTGTGGAGGAACTTCTTTTCACGGTTGTTCTTTTCTTGTGTGGTTCTCGGTCTGGTACTGTTTTTGTGTAGTTGTGTCGAGGTTGTTGTTTCCTTTGTGCAATGTGTTTCAAAGGGTTTAATGTTAAGATGTTGTGACCCACAAACACAAACATACTACACTTCAGACAATAGTGATTTCCCAGTTTTGTCCCAGTGTGAATAACAGATTTACTGCTGTTTGTCCAGATTCTAAGAAGGAGGGTCCTTCTCTGCTGCTGGTGTTGAAATGGGGAGGAGAGCTGACTCCTGCAGGCCGAGTTCAGGCTGAGGAGCTGGGCAGAGCCTTTCGCTGCATGTACCATCATAGTACAACCATAACAATAACAAACACCCACCGCAGTACAACGTAACACTAACAATCACCCATCATCATAGTACAACCATAACACTAACAATCACCCACCATCATAGTACAACCGTAACACTAACAAACAGCCATCATCATAGTACAACCATAACAATAACAAACACCCACCGCAGTACAACGTAACACTAACAATCACCCATCATCATAGTACAACCATAACACTAACAACCCCCCACCATCATAGTACAACCGTAACACTAACAAACAGCCATCATCATAGTACAACCATAACAATAACAAACACCCACCGCAGTACAACGTAACACTAACAATCACCCATCATCATAGTACAACCATAACACTAACAACCCCCCACCATCATAGTACAACCGTAACACTAACAAACAGCCATCATCATAGTACAACCATAACAATAACAAACACCCACCGCAGTACAACGTAACACTAACAATCACCCATCATCATAGTACAACCATAACACTAACAACCCCCCACCATCATAGTACAACCGTAACACTAACAAACAGCCATCATCATAGTACAACCATAACAATAACAAACACCCACCGCAGTACAACGTAACACTAACAATCACCCATCATCATAGTACAACCATAACACTAACAACCCCCCACCATCATAGTACAACCGTAACACTAACAAACAGCCATCATCATAGTACAACCATAACAATAACAAACACCCACCGCAGTACAACGTAACACTAACAATCACCCATCATCATAGTACAACCATAACACTAACAACCCCCCACCATCATAGTACAACCGTAACACTAACAAACAGCCATCATCATAGTACAACCGTAACACTAACAAACAGCCATCATCATAGTACAACCGTAACACCAACAAACAGCCACCATCATAGTACATCATAGTACGGTTTCATCTGATTGGCTGAGATTACTGTTGATTCTTCAGAAGATCTTGTCTTCACATGGTTCTGTGGAGTTGAACTGGTTCCACTGATTGTCACCTGGTTTCAGTTGATCTATCTATCTGTGTATATAGATAGAAATATAGACTCTAGATCTGTACTGTATATCATAGCATTTACACTACGTGGTATTTGTCTCTACACTGGGTAGTATCTGTAGTTGTACTCTCTCTCTCTCTCTCTCTCTCTCTCTCGCTGAGTTCATGTCCATCTGATAATCATCACATATACTGTGTGTTGCAACAGCTCATCTATTATTGAGGCGGCAGTACCTGATCAGACCAGCAGAGGGACAGTAGATAGAGTTTCATTCCCTTAGATTGAAAGCTTCAAAGTAAACTTCAATTACTGCAGTGATTAGATCAGTGTGATCCATTAGAGGATATTCAAGCTGGGATATTCAAGCTGCAGCAGGAGCAGGGAGGAGGAGGGAGGAGCAGAGAGGAGGAGGGAGGAGCAGAGAGGAGGAGGGAGGAGGAGAGAGGAGGAGGGAGGAGGAGGGAAAGGAGGAATGACTGAGTATTGATCGTCCCGACAGCAGGAGTCTGATGCTGACGTCAGAGCTGATTGTCGTCGGAGGATAAACTTCCTGCTTTGACTTTTCCTTCATGTTCTATGTAACCATGGAGATCATTTCTCCCTGATCAAATCAGACTATTGATCTGTTAATGATCCGCTGACCAATCAGGAGGGAGGAGAGGTCTCTGATAAACCAATCAAGTGATTCTGATTTTTACAAATCAATTATATTGTTAAACGGTTCCACTGCTGTCACCACCAGTGACCGTGGAATCGTGGGCTTTCACAGGTGTACTTAGCACCACCTACAGGCCAGAAGAAGGTACCTACATGCTGATGTGTTCTGTAAATGACTTGACCCTACAGTTGGTGTCATGACATTTAGAAAATCACCACAGATGTGATGTTATGGCTTTGACTTGAGTTTGGGGGGAAGAGAGGGGGGTGAGGGGAGGGGGCTGTGTGTGTGTGTGTGTGTGTGGAGACAGGTTTTCAAATCTCTGTGAAAACCTCTGTACCTGAGTGATGTAGAAAGAACTTAGACAAAACAAATAGTCCAGACACTGCTCCTCCTCCTCCTCCTCCTCCTCCTTTACCTCCACTGCCATATTGTGTCTGTCTGTTCTCCTTTTCATGCTGCTTCCTCTGAATGTTGCCTTGTCCTTTCCCTGACCTCCTTCTGCTCCTTTTATCCTCCTCTTCCTCCTCCTCCTCCTCCTCCTCCTCCTCATCCTTCATGTTCTCCATCTTCTTCATTCTTTCTCCTCTCAGTGTGTGGGCTAAAGCTCAACAGGAGGTCATTCACAGGTAAAAACACAGGTAACGTAGATTAGGTTTTCAGCCCTTCCTCCAGGAAGTGACGTTGAAGTAGCTGTTTATAGCCACCAGAGGGCGACGACATCCACAGAAATATCTATAATGGTTTGGGACGATGAGAGGAAAGTAGAACTCACTCGCCATCATCATCATCCTCATCCTCATCATCCTCATCATCATCGCTATGAATTCAGACCTGATTCCTCCTCCTCCTCCTCCTCCTCCTCCTCCTCTGTTTGTCTCCTAATAAGCTGCACCTTCTCCTCCTCTAATTTGGCCATTATTCACTGCTGTCACACTGCAATTATTCAGAGCTTATCTCCTTCACACACCACATCAGGTCTTTGTCACACACACACACACACACACATGTTTACACACTCTCACACACACACACACACACAGACTGATGACGGCTGCAGATAGGACCAGGCTCCTCATCTTCCTCGTCCTCATCATCGTTGCATTGATTACATTTGATTTGGTTTTTGCTCCTCATCGTCATATTGAATCTCATCAACACACACACACACACACACACACACACACA